AATCGATGAGAATACACTGGGAGAAAAATATTTATACTCTTTACTAGCATATGCCCGCTACTTCGTTAGCGGATCTTTCCAAATCACATTAAATTTTATGATTAAAATAAATAAACAATAAATAGGAATATTTCCATTAAAAGTTCCGAACATTAAAAGTTCGAACATTGGAAATAATTGTCGGTATGTTGTTGTTGTAGCAGCTTGTACTGCTGTGTATTTTTTCTATTTTCTTTAACCTGGTTCTGCCTCTAACTCCAAGTTCAGGAAGGCTGCGACCTGTATTGGTTGAGTCCATAGAGAAGATGGGGTTAGGTGAGTGGGTTTGGCTGGGCAGTTGAACAGATGTAGCGTGTCATGTGTTCCGTTACCACATGCCGGGCAGACATTGTCCACCTCTCCATCAATTCGTGCCCAATATGAATTGAGGCGGCTTCACCATCCAGATCTCAGTTGTGCCAAGATCACTCTAGTTTGTCGAGGTAGCTGCTGCTCTTCTGCAGCTATCAAAGGTGGAAGGTCTCCGAGGATGGTATTCACACGATATTCTTGAACTGCTTCCTCAACTGCGCCCGTGTGAATACGATTCAATCCTGCTTGATAGGCCTGCTGATCTAGAGGCTCCCTTTTGTACCTCTGGACCTCTCTCTCCAGATCATGGAGATCCTTCCTGACATGCCTGGATGGTGGGTACCTATTCATTAGGTAGCGATTTGAATGACTGCTCATATAACACCCAATTGCATCGACAACATCTTGTTGTGTTGACGCACAGGAAGGATCTTCGTCTCCTCATGTACGTGGTCTATTGGAGTCATGAGGAGACACCGTGTTGCAGTCCTCAGGGCGGCATTCTGGCAGGATTGAAGACTTTTGCACTGACGTTAGCGGACCACAATGGCACCGCATAGTTTACCACAGACCGAGCTATTGCTGTATAAGTGCTGCGTGCTAGCGACTTGAGAACCTTGTTTCTTGTCCTCTACATGGGTGCCGTAGGGGATGATAGATACCAAGTAACGGTTCTGATTGGCTTTAACATGGCGAAGTCCAGGCTTATCTTGGTCCCACTGTCATCTCAATTGTGGACACTGACCTCTCCGCGGTGCCACCTGGGTTAGCTATTTTCATCATCCGATAAAATAGTGAACTAATATGTGCCGCGAGTTCACCCATAAGAACTTTGAAAAAATTGGTTGAGGCGTCGGTTTAGTTGCCCACACTCGGAAAACCCCTCCTACTATGAAAAAGCAAAGAAAAAGAAAACCAAACCCACCTAATGTTGACGACCCCCGCAAACGTATAAAGGACCACGATCTGCGAATCTGCACTTGGAATATACTCACCTTATACAGAACAGGCGCAGTTTTCGCAAGAAATGCGATGGAAATGGACTGGCGTAAGTAAATCAGATGATTACGCACTGTATTATAGCTGCCTTCATTGTAGAGAGCCTGCATGTTAGTCCTAATGGTAGTAGCTTTGGCTATGAAGCTGGGAAGAGGCTATAGTCTGTGAGTGACCAGTCTCGAACTGTTTGGGGTTCTACTGGTAATAGCTTCGGCTATGAACCTGACCGAAGGTTTTTCGGTAGCACGGGTGTCAGGACCCCTAGGTTTGCGGATCTAGCCTGACAGTTGGTGTTGGCCCTTCGTTGGGAGCATCGTGTTGGATGTGGTTTATACCCAAATCGCGGGTAGAGCTGTGAAGTTGCATTACAGCCGGCTACCTGACCCATAGAAAGGCAGGAGTTTTAGATGGGCTCCGCTCCTCATCCAAGGAGGTGATCACGTCCAAATATGTATGATCGATTGGTACCTGCATTTCGGTGTGGGGGCGAGACATGAATTTGGCTGCGGATTTATGGTTAACAAGAGAATAAAATACCTCGTCTCCAGATTCACTCTAGTAGATGAGCGAATTGCTATAATCCGCATAAAAGCGAAGTTCTTCTATATCAGTCTCATTTGCGGCCATGTTCCCGACCGAAGACAAAGATGAGCAGACCAAAGACATATTTTACGATCGCCTAGAAGCAGCATATGATCGCTGCCCTTGCCATGACATTAAAATTCAGCTAGGAGATTTTAATGCAAAAATCGGAAGGGAAAATATCTTTGGCCCCACTGTTGGAAAATTCAGCCTTCATGAAGAAACATCCGACAACGGCATGAGGTTGATTGACTTCGCGGCAGCAAAAAACATGCTAGTTAGCAGCACCAGATTCAAGCATCTCGATATACACAAGGCCACCTGGATTGCCACCTGATCAAGCAACGAGAAATCAAATTGATCATGTCGTGTGATAGACGGAAATCATTTATCCAGATTTTTGGACGTTAGATCGATACGAGGAGCGAATATCGATTCGGACCATTACCTTGCAGCAGCCAAGGTTCGCACTCGTCTTAATGTTGCAGCAAAGGTGCGATCCAACACAACACCGAAACTTGACGTCGAAAAGCTGCAAACACAACAGGTGGCAGAAGCCTACTAGGCTCAACTTACCCAACTGCTTGACGAAAGCACCGCTTGTCCCGATAATAATATAGAAGCACAGTGGCAGAGAATTGCCCACTCCCAACAAACTGCAGCAAAAGCAACACTTGGGTACCAACAAGACCACCATGAAGAAATCCGTGGTACGATCAGGAGTGTCGTAATGGTACTAATCTGAAAAATGCAGCGTATAAGGCAATCCTGCGGAAACAGTGGCAACACGTAATACGATGGAGAACTATAGGGAGAACACGAGAGAGAAGAGAAACGTATTTTCAGAAAAAAGAAGAAAGAACAAGAAAACCGTGAGCGTGAGCAAATCGAGATGTTCAGGAGTCAGAATGAAGTCGGGAAATTTTACCAACGAGTAAAACACCAAACCGAAGGCTTTGGTGCGGGCACATCCTTCTGTAGAGATGAAGAAGGAAACCTGGTGACAGATACAGGCTGCGTGCTGAGGATCTGGAAGGAGCATTTTGAAAAACTTCTGGCATCAAATAGTAGCGGTGAAGAGGATACCCCAGAACAAATCAGAGATGATGGTATAGAGTGTATACCACCTAGCCAAGAGAAGGTCATAAAAGCAATTAATTGGCACAAGAACAATAAAGCAGCAAGAGCTGATGGGATACCAGCCGCCGCATATTTGAATGTTTAATTTTTCAGAAGTACCAACTCAGGAGCAACATCAAAACTTGAGCCAAAATTTGAGAATATGTCTAGTGGAAGGAAATACCAAAAAATGAGATTTACCAAGTAAGCGCTGTTCTCGAAGAAGGGAACGATCAAATAACATTGAAACAGGAGTCGCCGGCTTTGTTATTGGATTCCCAGAAGGAAAGTTCCCTTTTCTCAGGAAAATTACTTTCATGTCGTGAAACCAAGTAAATGCTATGAGAGGAAAAGCTACGAAGTAAAATATAAAATTGTTGAGTCTCATGAAGATAGTGTATGAACTTGTACCTGCCATACATCGGAGAAGAGCTTAATTTCAATGAACAATGGGTTATTGGAAAATAACAAGAAATTGGCATTAGAAATAGAGAGGCTGAAAAACATGCTAAAAATCGAAAAAAACATACACGAATCCATAATAAAAAAACACGAAAATGCGGAAGAGCTGCTCCAACAGAAAATAAATGAGATGACCACGGCCCTTAAGACAATCCACTGCAATTCGATATACCTAAAGGATGTGGAAGGTAAAGCATCAGCTCATTTCTCTAAAATGATATGTAACCCCGTAATGGAGTACAATATAACTGAATAAAAATATTGTCCAGTCACTATATCTAACTTCCAGAAAGAGCTACAATTTTATGAGAAATGAGCTGAATTTTAATCTTCCACATCCAGAAAGTTTAATGAATTGGCGTCCCATAAAAAGGGTAGAGATGGGTGTTGATCCAAACCTTAAGGAAAATTTGAGAAGAATTGTCTCAACATTTTCACAGCGTGAACGTTAAATAATTATAGCATTCGACGAAATGGAAGTACGCAAAGAATTGGAATTCAATAAAGCGGACGACGACGTTGTGGATGGGTACCAAGATTTTGGAGGTGGCTGCCTCATCAAATGCCGTACATGCAGACCAATTAAAAAGTCTATTGTTCGAAAACATTGATGCTGCTACCGACATTGGTCTCGTAGTGAGGGGCATAGTTCGGGACGAAGGCTCATCCAATTTGAGACTGAACAGAGACATCTGTCGACGGAGAGCGCACACGAGCGAGTTTATTAAAAAAATTAATGACATATTCGACGAGCTAGCAATGTCAAAATAGAAAGGCTCAAAAATGCCTTAGAATATTTTCAAAAAAATTGAGACAACCAAATGTTGGTCAAATGTGTCAATGGGCTTGCACAAACTATCCGCGGTATGATACTGCTCTCTGAAGAGGTGTTCGATAGCTGTAATGATGTGAATTATGTTTTAACGGGAAAGCTCAGCCAGGATGCTTTGGAGAATGCGTTCTCAAGATTCGTGCCCAGGGAAACAACAGCCACCCATCGTTGTGGATGGGTACCAAGATTTTGGAGGTTGCTGCAGGAATGGAGCTATTGCCTCAAAAGCCTTAGTGTTCATGGCGAAAGGGTGCTGCAGCAACTGGAAGTACATAATGAGCTTTTATGCCTTATCAAATGCCGTACATGCAGACCAATTTAAAAGTCTATTGTTCGAAAACATTGATGCTGCTACCGACATTGGTCTCGTAGTGAGGGGCATAGTTTGTGACCAAGGCCCATCCAATTTGAGACTGAACAGAGACATCTGTCGAAGGAGAGCGCCCACGAGCGAGTTTATTAAAAAAATTAATGACATATTCGACGAGCTAAATGCAAAAAATTTGCACACATCGAACCCTAATAATAAGCCGATTCACAAGGGATGCAATGCCAAAATAGAAAGGCTCAAAAATGCTTTACAATATTTTCAAAAAAAATTTTGACAACCAACTTTGTCAAATGTATCAATGGGCTTGCACAAACTATCCGCGGCATGATACTGCTTTCTGAAGAGGTGTTCGATAGCTGTAATGATGTGAATTATGTTTTAACGGGAAAGCTCAGCCAGGATGCTTTGGAGAACGCGTTCTCAACAGTTCGTGCTCAGGGAAACAACAGCCACCCATCATCCGTTCGTGAGTTGAGGCTCTATATTGCAAGGTACGCCTTACAAAAATTTCTAGCTACTGCTCGGGTTAGCTCTTTGAAAAATTGCGAGGACGATAATGCCCAATATCTATTATGCGAAAATGCAACTACATTCAAAGATGCAACTATTAATACAAATAATGTACAAATAAATGTTGTTGAACAATTCTTGAAAGACCTCAACACGGTTCAAACTAATGACGTTGAAATGCAGGCAGAAAGATATGTGCCGTGGTGTAAAACCGTAAGGTAGGTACCCACGTACTCTAAGCATCTCTGTATTATAGCTGCCATGAAACGAGACATGAATTTGGCTGCGGATTTATGGTTAACAGGAGAATAAAAGACCTCGTCTCCAGATTCACTCCAGTAGATGTGCGAATTGCTATAATCCGCATAAAAGCGAAGTTCTTCTACATCAATCTCATTTGCGCCCATGCTCCGACCGAAGATAAAGATGAACAGACCAAAGACATATTTTATGAGCGCCTAGAAGCAACATAAGATCGCTGCCCTGGACATGACATTCCGCTGGGAGATTTTAATGCAAAAATCGGAAGGGAATATATCTATGACCCCACTGTCGAAAAATGCAGCCTTCTTGAAAAAACAAACCTACAACGGCATGAGGTTGATTGACTTCGCGGTAGTTAGCAGCACCAGATTCAAGCATCTCGATATACACAAGGTCACCTGGATTTCTCCTGATCAAGTAACGAGAAATCAAATCGATCATGTTGTGATAGACGGAAGGCATTCATCCAGTGTATTAGACGTTCGATCGATCCGAGGAGCGAATATCGATTCGGACCACTACCTTGTTGCAGCCAAGTTTCGCACTCGTCTTAATGTTGCAGCAAAGGTGCGATCTAACACAACACGGAAATTTGACGTCGAAAAGCTGCAAACACAACAGGTAGCCGAGGCCTACACCGCTCAACTTACCCAATTGCTTGACGAAAGCACTTAATGTCCCGATAATAATGTAGAGAATTGCCCACTCCCTACAAACTGCAGCAAAAGTAAAACTTGGGTACCAAAGACCACCACCATGAAAACCATGGTACGATTAGGAGTGTCGTAATGCTACTGATCTGAAAAACGCAGCATATAAGGCAACCCTGCGGACAGTAGCAACACGTAATGCGATGGAGAACTATCGGGAGAAAAGGAGAGAGGAGAGTCTCATTTTCAGAAAAAAAAGAAAGAACAAGAAAAACGTGAGCGTGAGCAAATCGATATGTACAGGAGTCAGAATGAAGTCCGGAAATTTAACCAGCGAGTAAAACCCTAAACCGAAGGTTTTGCAGCAGGCACATCCTCCTGTAGAGATGAAGAATTTCTTCTGGTGACCGATAAAGACAGCGTGTTGAGGATCTGGAAGGAGCATTTTGAAAAGCTTCTGGTATCAAATAGTGGCGGTGAAGAATATACCCCAGAACCAATCAGAGATTATGGTATAGAGTGTATACCTCCTAGCCAAGATGAGAACAGGATAGCAATAATTCGGCTAAAGAATAATAAAGCAGAAAGAGCTGATGGGTTACCAGCCGAATTATTCAAGACTGGTGGTCAAATGCTGGTCAGGAGCATGCATCAGCTGTTTAGTACAATTTGGCTAGAATAATGCATGCCTAATGATTGGAACCTCTGCATCCTGTGTCCCGCGCACACAAAAGGAGACAAAACGATATGTGGCAACTATAGAGGAATAAGTCTCCTTCCCAGCGCATATAAAGTGTATGATCGACTGGAGCCAATGGTCATTGACATCATTGGACCATACCAATGCGGCTTCAGACCTTCCAAATCCACCAATGACCAGATTTTCGCTCTGCGCCAAATCCTGAAAAAAAACACGAAAAACACATCGACACAGACCACCTATTCGTCGACTATAAAGCCGCATTCGACTCGAGCTCTATCCGTTCAGAGGTGTTTAAAGCCATGCCTACGTTCGGCATTCCAGCAAAATTAATACGACTATGCAGGATAACTTTAAGTGGCACAAGATCAGCAGTTAAAGTCGGAAAGGATCTCTCGGAGCCCTTTAATACCGAACGAGGATTCAGACAAGGTGATAGTTTGTCGTGTGACCTTTTTAACATCCTGCTGGAAAAGGTCATACGAGAGGCGAAAGTGAACAGAAATGACACTCTGTATACCAAACAACACATGCTACTCGCCTACGCCGCCGATGACATAGATATAATGGGTCGAACATTGCGAGCGGTAACAGCCACCTTTGAACAAATTGAGAAGGAGTCTGCCAAAGTGGGTCTGGCAGTAAACGGCGAGAAGGCCAAACTGACGCAAGGCGTCCAATAGACTCGAACCAACTGCGGAACTGGAGAACTACAGCTTCGAGGTAGTCAAAGATTTTATATACCTTGGTACCGCCATATATAAAACGAATGACATCAGTTTTGAAATTCGGAGAAGGATTGTGATGGCCAACCGATGCTACTATGGTCTTAGTAAGCAGTTTAGAAACAAGGCCACTTCCCGCCAGACCAAACTCACACTTTACAAGACGCTGATACTACCCGCCGTGCTGTTATATGGATCTGAAGCATGGTTACTTACGCAAGCAGATGTGGCAGCTCTTGGAGTGTTTGAGAGAAAAAAATCTCCGAAAGATCTATGTGCCGATATGCGTTGACGGTGAACATCGCCGTCGAATGAACCACGAGCTTTACAATTTATACGCGGACATCGACATAGTCAGTCGTATTGAGCTGCAGCGGCTACGGTGGCTAGGCCATGTTGTGCGGATGAATGAAGATTCCCCAGCTCAAAAGGCATATAAAAATGAGCCTAATGAGTTCCCGTAGGCCACGAATTAGATGGAAAGGCCACGAATTAGATGGAAAGACCAAGTAGAAAACAACATCTTGAAACGTGGTCTTCCAAATTGGTGGACCTGCGCACAAGACCTACGCGCTTGGAAATCTTTTTTAAGCTCGACTTATGGAACAACCGTTCTGTAACAAGCCAGCTAAGTAAGTAAGTTATGGAACGAAAGTTCTGTCACAAGCCAGCTAAGTAAGTAAGTTTTGGGGGTCTACCAGAAACCGTGGATTTTTTTTTAAATTGTTTTTGAGGGCCTACCAGAGAAAAAAATCTAGGCATAATATTTTCTATTAAAATAGGTAAAATATTAAAAGTTTGTTAGGAAAAATTTTCCATTTTTTTCAAAAAAAATCCGAATATTTTCGATGAAAAAACCGAATATTTGTTGGGGATTTGCATTATTTTTTCATGATGATGAGTTTCTTTTTTTATTAACCGATTCCCTGTCAATTATATCCAAATTACCTGTCGTTATCTCTGCTATCAAAAGTAAACAAACACACCTATTAATGACAAAGAAAAGAAGCCAATAAAAAAATCCGACACGATGTAATAAAAAAAATTATTTTTATCACAACTGCATTTCGAAATACATATAATAAAAGTAATTGACTCGAAATGTTAATGAAATTTCACAAAAAAAGAAAAAATATTTTCAGTTAGTTTTTAAATTTTGTGCCGCAGAGGTTCTCGAGAAAAAATAGAAATAGAACAGAATGCTGCGGTTTTCAATTTTAATCGTGGGGATTTTATTCCTAACAGGAGTCCATGCACTCGTTCCAGAGGATGTGAAACCACCTAATATAATTATAATAATGGCCGATGATATGGTGGGCTAGGAAATTTATTAAATAGAAAAAATTCTAATTGGAATTTTTTCTGAATTTTTATTTTCTTAATTTCTACAGGGTTTTGACGATGTCAGTTTTCGCGGCAACAATGAGTTCCTGACACCCAACATCGATGCCCTGGCCTATCATGGTAAAATATTGCAACGTCTCTATGCTCCGCCCATGTGTACACCTTCGAGATCGTCTCTACTGACCGGGCTATATCCCATACATACGGGTAAGAAGGAAAAAATCACATTTTTATGAATTCAAAATTTCGATTTTTTCCATTTCGAAAGGTACCCAACACTTTGTCCTTGTCAACGAGGAGCCTTGGAGTATTTTGGCTAATCTCAACCACACCCTACCGAAGGTCCTGCAACGACATGGCTATTCCACAAATTTGGTAGGAAAATGGCACATGGGTATGGGCCGCAGGGAATATACCCCCACCTATAATGGCTTCGATTATCATTACGGGTATTGGGGAGCATTTGTGGATTACTATAGGAGGACCTGTAAAATGCCGGTAAGTCAATTCTTATTAGACAAATTTTAATAAATTAAGTTTTCTTATAAGAAAACATACCAATTTTTTTGATTCCGCTTCTTAAAGGAAATGATTTTTTTCTTATAAGATTTTTTCCAATCAGAAAAAAAAATAATTCGGTTTATCTTATAAGAAAAAATTATTCGACTAATAGTCCTTCAAAAAAATTGCCTATATAATATTTCCAATTAGAAAAAAATTTCTGAAATATTTTTCTAATTAGACAAAATACAATTATCCACTTTAAGTTCTCCACTATTTTTTAAATCTCCCTCCCTTCATAGACCAACTCCAGCATGGGTTATGATTTTCGACGCAATCTAGATTTGGAATGTCCTGAACCCGGATCATATGTAACGGATTTGCTAACTTCGGAAGCGGAACGTATAATTATGGAGAATTCCGCTAGTAAGAAACCATTATTTTTACTGGTCTCCCATATGGCAACACATGCTGCGAATGATGATGATCCGTTGCAGGCTCCCGATGAGGAGATTGAGAAGTTCGGCTATATAAAAGATGAGAAAAAGAGGATATATGCAGGTGAGGGGAGAAGTATATAACAATAGGATGATTTTTGAAAAAGAAAAATTAAAAAAAAAAAATTTTTGTAAATAACCGGATATTTTTTCATTTAACCGGTTAATTTTCTTTGGTAACCGGTTTTATATAATCGAATGTAGGATAATTTTTGAAAAAGAATAAACAAAACATTTTTTTAAAACCGGATATTTTTCATGTAACCGGTTAAATTTTGTTGTAACCGGTTTCATATAATATGTGTATCCGCATAATTTTATTTTATAAAATTTAAAAATATTTTTTCAAGTAACCGGTTAATTTTTTTTTGGTAACCGGTTTTATATAATCAAATGCAGGATAACTTTTGAAAAAGAAACTTAAAAAAAACAGGATAATTTTCATATCCCCGCGTAATTTTTCATGTACCCGGTTATTTTTAATTTTTATTTTTTTCTGTAACCAGATTTGTATCACCGAAATATTATCCGGGTTAAATCTCCGTGATCCACATTTTTTATTAAAAATATATATTTTCTATTTTTTTTGTAACCGGATTTATATAACCGGTTTTTATCCGGACAATTTTTTTAATCGATTAAAATTTTTTTCCTGTAACCGGCTAAACGGTTTTTTGTAAACGGTTAAATTTTTTTTCCTGTAACCGGTTATTTTATTTTCTATTACCGAATTTGTATTTCCGAAATATATAAATTTGTATCCCCGAAATATTATCCGGGTTTTTATACATGAACCTAAATTTTTTTATACATTTTTTTTTAAATTTTTTTCTGTAACCGTATTTTTATAACCGGATATTATCCGCTTAATTTTTTCTTGTAATCGGTTAAATTGTTTTCTTTTAACCGACTAACCGTTTTCTTTGTAACCGGTTAAATACAACCAAAATATTATCTGTAACCGGTTTTGTATAGCCGAAATATTATTCGGGTTTTTCTTCATGAACCCAACAATTTTTATAACATTAAAATTTTTTTTGGATAATTTTTTCTTGTAATCGGTTCAAATTTTTTTCTTGTAACCGGATAATTTTTTTTCTGTAACCAAATTTGTATCTCCGAAATATTATCCGGGGTTTTTATCCATGATCGTAAATTTTTTATATTTTTTTTAAAATTTTTTTCTGTATCCGGATTTATATAACCGGATATTATCCGTATAATTCTTTCTTGTAATCGGTTAAAATTTTTTCTTGTAACCGGTTAACCGTTTTTTTTGTAACCGGTTAATTTATTTTCTTGTAACCGGGTTTAATTTTGTCTATAACCGGATTTATATAACCGGATATTACCCGGATATTTTTCTGGTAATCGGTTAAAATTTCGTCTTGTAACCCAAAAACCGTTTTTTGAAACCGGCTAACCTTTTTTTTAACCGGTTAATTTTTTTTCTTGTTACCGGTTAATTTTTTGCCCGTAACCGAATTTGTATTTCCAAAATATTATCTAAATTTTTATCCATGATCCAAATTTTTTTTAATTTTTTTCTGTAACCGGATTTTTATAACCGGATATTATCCGAATAATTTTTTCTTGTAACCGGTTAACATTTTTTCTTTTAACCGACTAACCGTTTTTTTTGTAACCGGTTAAAATTTTTTCTTGTAATCGGTTAATTTTTTTCTGTAACCGGTTTTGTATATCCGAAATATTTTAAAAATATTTTTTTTTGTAATTTTTTCTGTAACCGGATTTATATAACCGGATATTTTTTCTTGTAATCGGTTAACATTTTTTTTGTAACCGGTTATTTTTTTATAAAATGTTTATAATTTTTTTAAATTTTTTTTTGTAACCGGATTTTTATAACCGGATATTATCCTGATAATTTTTTCTTGTAATCGGTAAAATTTTTTTCTTGTAACCGGCTAAACGGTTTTTTGTAACCGGTTATTTTTTTTCTTTTAACCGGTTATTTTTTTTCGGTTTTGTATATCGGAAATATTATCCGGGGATTTCTCCATGTACCTAAAACTTTTTTGTAAAATTAAATTTTTTTAAATTATTTTCTGTAACCGGATATTATCCGAATCATTTTTTTTTTGTAATCGGTTCAAATGTTTTTCTTATAACCGGTTATTTTTTTCTGTAACCGAATTTGTATTTCCGAAATATTATCCGGGTTTTTATCCATGAAAAAATATATTTTTTTTAATTTTTTCTGTAACCGGATATTATCCGGTTATTTTTTTTTTTTTTTAAAAAAAAGTGATCCGTTTAATTTTTATTTTCCATTTCCTCAGCCATGGCCTCCAAATTGGATGAGAGTGTCGGTCGCATAGTCAAGGCCCTGGATCGGGCACAAATGCTGAAGAACTCCATCGTTTTATTTTTTTCCGATAATGGGGCGCCATCGGTGGGTCTCTACCATAACAGTGGGTCCAATTGGCCCTTGAAGGGGGTAAGAAAAAATAGATTTTTTAAAAATTAAAAAAAGTAATCAAAAAAATATTGGTTAGCAAAAAAATTCACCCTGGGAGGGTGCCCTGCGGGTACCCGGTGCCATTTGGAGTCCTTTGTTGGCAAATCAGGGAACGATTTTTCAACCGATCATTTACATGGCAGATTGGTTGCCGACATTGGCGGCAGCGGCAAATATCAAAATGAATTCGTCGCTCGATGGCCTGAATATGTGGCCAGATCTATTAGTGAGCGACACCGCGAACCACAAGGTGGAGAAGGATCGGGAAATAGTTCACATGTTGGATGATATTTGGAATTTAACCAGTTATATGAAGGGAAGGTATAAATATGTACGGGGTACCACCATAGGTGGCATCTATGATAGTGTCCTGCTGCAAAGGGATCCGCTAACCAAGGATCCGAGATCTTTGAAATATGAAGAGGCCATCCAAACATCCGAGGTATCTCAAAGTTTACGAAAATTCGATCGCAAACCATTGACTTCGTTGGAGATACGTAAATTACGTGCGGGTGCTGCTGTCAAATGTCCCTCGGGAAGTAAGCAGACACCCTGTAATGCCACCACAGAAGAATGTCTCTATGATATCCGCCAGGATCCTTGTGAGCAAAATAATTTGGCACCCCTACCCGAATATGGGAATGTTTTAAAGGAATTGCGTAAAAGCGTAGAGCGACTGCGCCGAAAAGCTCTGCCACCAAAGACTGGTGGTAGCCAATGGTCATATGATCCAGGGTATCATGATTGTACTTGGTCCAATTTTCTGGAGGATAAACCAACTGAGAGTAAGTACCACACATCCTCTTTTATAGTTGGGGACAATTTAATCGTTTTTCCCTCTCTCCCTCTCTCACCCTTTGTAGCGATGTTACAGTGCAGTTATGATACGTTACCCTGTTAAAATGTCTAAAGAGAGGCCCCAAGCAAAGAGAGCAACACACATGAAGAGAACACCTATGAAAAAATAAATGAAGAAATCACACAAACGGTTTAACGGGCACTAATAAATCTTAATGACATTATTTGACACATTTTAAAGCATACCTTCAGGCGCCTTGATGTTATGAAGGGAATTAGTCCATGGTGTAGCTAAGAGATGGCGCTGTTCAATGCAAATCCATTTCATTGTTACCATTTTTTTAACGAAATACATTAATTATTTAAAGCGATAAATATTAATCGATAACAAATTTATAATCGATAACAAAATTAATTATAATCAATAAAAAAGTTAATATATTCGCCGATTTTCGATAGAGAAATTAATTATAGATACATTTTACTTTTAAAAACTGCTTATTATCGATCAAATCTCAGAATCGATAAATTTATTATCGATATATTTTTCTACAGAAAATCGACTAAATGATAACATTTTTCAATGAGAAAATTGTTATTGAGAAGTTTTGTTATGGAAAAAATATTTTTTCGATAACTTTTTCTTCGAAAAAATTGTTATCGAAACATATTTCGATTAAAATATGCTGTTATCGATAAGTTTTCTAATTGTATATTGATGGTAACTGTTATTAGAGATAACACACGGTATAGAAAAAGTAATTATCGATATTTTTCTGGAGAAACTGGTTATCGATTACCTTTGATAATGAAACACTTGTTATCGATAAGATTATTCAGTAAAATAAAACTTTTTTTCTACAGAAAACCATGTTATCGATACGTTGTTCTAATGAAAAATGTTGTTATCGATATGATTTTCTGAAGACATACATGCTATCGACAAGTATTTGTTTAAGAAAATTTTTTATCGATAGTATTTTTGAAAATTTTATTATCGATAACATTTTCCATTTAAAAATATATCATCGACAACATTTAATGTAGAAAATTTTATTATCGATAACATTTTGTAAGGAAAATATTATTATCGACAAGATCTTCCATAGCAAATGTTATTATCGATAGCATTTTCAATAGAAAACATTATTATCGATAACATTTTCAATAGAAAATGTTATTATCGATAACATTTTCAAAAGAAAATGTTATTATCGATTGCATTTTCCATAGAAAATGTTATTATCGATAACATTTTCAAGAGAAAATGTTATTATCGATAAAATGTTCAATAGTAAATGTTACTATCGATAACATTTTTAATAGAAAATGTTATTATCGATAAGATTTTACGCGGAAAATGACACTATCGATAACATGTGATGTAGAAAATTCACTTATAGATACCATTTAATATGGAAAATTGTATTGTCGATAAAATTTAATGTAGAAAATGTTATTATCGATAAAATTTGCAATAGACAATTTTATTATAGATAACTTTTTCCATAGAAAATGTTATTATCGATAACCTTTTCAATAGAAAATGTTATTACCGATAACATTTTCCGTAAAAAAATGTTATTATCGATAACATTTTTCATAGAAAATGTTACTATCGATAACATTTTTAAAAGGAAATGATATTATCGATAACATTTTCAATAGAAAATGATATTATCGATAACATTTTCAATAGAAAATGTTATTATCGATAACATTTTCAATAGAAAATATTATTATCGATAACATTTTCAATAGAAAATGTTATTATCGAAAAGATTTTCTATAGAAAATGTTATTATCGATAACATTTGCAATAGAAAATTTTATTATCGATAGCATTTTCCACAAAAAGTGTTACTATCGATAACATTTTTCAATAGAAAATGTTATTATCGATAACATTTTCAATAGAAAATGTTATTATCGATAACATTTTCAATAGAAAATGTTATTATCGATAACATTGTCAATAGAAAATGTTATTATCGATAACATTTTCAATAGAAAATGTTACTATCCACAACATTTTCAATAGAAAATTTTATTATCGATAACATTGCCAATAGAAAATGTTATTATCGACATTTTCAATAGAAACTGTTATTATCGATAACATTTTCAATAGAAAATGTTATCAGAAAACTTGTTATCGATAACTTTTGTTATCAAAAAACCTGTTATCGATAACTTTTGTTATCAGAAAACTTGTTATGGAAAGCTTTTGCTATAAGAAAACTTGTTATCGATAACTTTTGTTATCAGAAAACTTGCTATCGATGTATTTTTCATGGGATAAACTTATGAAAAATCGAAAAAAAATAATTATATTAATAATCGATTTAATATTTATCGTATGTATAAATTGTCTTTTATTATTTTTTCGCTCTAAAAAATAATTAAGTAACTAATTACTAACGTTAATTTTATTTCGATACTTAAACAACTACTAAATTCAAAAATCTAAATTCTTTGTACATTAAACTACAAATTAAACGAAATAACACGCACACTACAGCACACCCAATCGGTGTGCATAATACATTCAAACAAAAAAAGTCCTATGGAAGACCTTAAAATCGATATAAAACTATTGACTATTTGCTCTCCTCTCACTTCTCTCGAAGTTCCTCTTCTCAATAAAGAAGTTACCATGATATACTTCTCACAGCCGCTGGCAAGGAACAAATTGCATTGTGGACCGGTATCGATAGGAATCCAGCCAGGGCAATACCATAGGAATCTGATTGCACCACCATAGCCATGGCAAATTGTCTACGGCCAGGTGGTATCTCCTTGGACATACGATAGAAGGTATTAACATAGGCACCACCACCTAGCAAACCTTCCCACAGGACAATCACGAATGTGATCCAAATACTGGGTGTATAGAAGTAGATGACCTCGGTCAAGAAGTACACCACGTTGACAAATTGGAAAACGGACATCAGCCAAATCTTATTCAACTGGAAGACATTGACCGAGGAGCGGGATATGAAGACGCCGATTTGATAGTCCACATTCAACCAACGATATTGTGCAGCCTTGTCCAGGAAGGTGTCCTTGAAGTAGACCAATTCGAACTGGAAACAAATCGATTAAAAATTAAAAGTGATTCCGCATCTGAACATCGCCTCCGACTTACCAATCCCTGATTAATGAAATATTCAAAGAAGTAAACCAAGGCTAGGGGCACCATATATTTTACCAGGTGTTTAATGTAGATCAATTTCTCCTTGAAACCTTCTAGAGGACGATCATCGACAATGAGTTCTTCGGTTGACTCAACATTGGTGACGGGTAGAACAGCGGTGGGTTTCCTTAACAGTACCCAAAAGGAGAGGGCCTCAATGAAGGGGAATATTAACATAATCAACATGGTATCGCGAGGGCTAACATCTAGGGAACGCAGGGTGGCATAGGATAGGGAACCAATGACACCGGCACCACCCGTACCAGAGGACCAGGTGGAGACCACATTTCTGGAAAAGATGGGAATAAATTAGGGTGGTTATAAATTATCGAAAAAAATCGATACAGAAGAATATTATCGATTTTTTCAATAAAAAATATAATCTTTTTTTTTTGATAAAAAAAATTATCGATTTTTTCTATAAAAAATGCTATCGATTTTCTTATAAAAAAATTATCGATTTTTTGTCGATAAAACTTGTGCTATCAATTTTTTTTATAAAAAAAAATTATCGATTTTTTGTCGATAAAAATTGTATCGATTTTTTTTTCAATAAAAAATTATCGATTTTTTTCAATAATAAAATTATCGATTTTTTTCAATAAACAAATTATCGATTTTTTTCAATAAAAAAATTATCGATTTTTTTCAATAAAAAAATTATCGATTTTTTTCAATAAAAAAATTATCGATTTTTTTCAATAAAAAAATTATCGATTTTTTTCAATAAAAAAATTATCGATTTTTTTCAATAAAAAAATTATCGATTTTTTTCAATAAAAAAATTATCGATTTTTTTCAATAAAAAAAATTATCGATTTTTTTTTTCAATAAAAAAATTATCGATTTTTTCCATAAAAAAATATAGATTTTTTCAATAAAAAAATTATCGATTTTTTTATATAAAAATTATCGATTTTTTAATATAAAAGTTATTGATTTTTTTAATAAAAAATTATCGATTTTTTCAATTTAAAAAAATCGACTTTTTTTCAATAAAAAAATTATACATTTTTGCAATAAGAACAATTATGGATTTTTTCAATACAAAAAATTATCGATTTTTTCAATACAAAAAATTATCGATTTTTTTAATACAAAAAATTATCGATTTTTTCAATACAAAAAATTATCGATTTTTTCAATACAAAAAATTATCAATTTTTTCAATACAAAAAAATATCGATTTTTTTCAATACAAAAAATTATCGATTTTTTTAATACAAAAAATTATGGAGTTTTTTAATAAAAAAAATTATCGATTTTTTTAATAAAAAATTATCGATTTTTTTAATAAAATATATATTTTTTTCGATAAAAAAAAATGTAATCGAAAAATTATTTTAAAGAAAAATGTGTTATTTGTCGATAATTTCACAGAATATGTTGTTATCGAAAAAATTTTTGAATAAAATATTTTTGTTATCGAACCCATTTTATATAGAAAAATATTTGTTGAACACTATTTCCTAGAAAAACTTATTATCGAAGAATATTTCAGTGGAAAAAAATATTATCGATCTACTATTCTTCCGAAAAATAAGTTATCGATAAATAATTCGTCTCAAAAAATTGTTATTGAACCACTTTTTGGTAATAAAAGTTTGTTATCGGACAACTTTTTAACATTACAAGTGTTATCGATATTTTATCGATTAATTTTTCGATGAATAAAGTTGTTATCAGTCAAATTTTCGGTAAGAAAACGCGGTTATCAAACAAATTTTCGTTTGAAAGTGTTGTTATCGAGCAACTTTTCAATATAAAAATTTGTTATCGAACAGATTTTCGATAGAAAATGTTGTTATCGAAATACTTTTTAATAGAAAATATTGTTATCGAACCTATTATGAATAGCAAATATTTTTATCGATTAAAAAATGTTGTTTTCGATAAAAAATGTTGTT